TAATGACATCACAAAATGATAGCTAGGTATGGTATGACATCACAAAATGTTAGCTGTACATCGCAAAATATTAGCTGACATCACAAAATATTAGCTGACATCACAAAATATTAGCTGACATCACAAAATGTTAGCTATGACATCACAAAATGTTAGTAATGACATCATCACAAAATGATAGCTATGACATCACAAAAGGTTAGCTATGACATAACTTATTGTTATGTTTTATTATGTTGACAGGCTCAGTATGATATAGACCAGGCTTTAGTTCTATGTCAGATGCATAATTTCAAAGCGGGTATGCTCTATCTTTATGAAAAAGCAAAACTGTAAGTATGTATTCAAATAACCCGTTTGAGAAACAAGAAACAAACTTTAGGAATATTTCATGATCGACTAATGACATGCAAATGTTATGACATTGACTGTTTCTTCGTTTCTAAATAAACCAATGACATTGTTTCTGGTATTGATGTTGATTAATCAATGTTAAATGATTTCAACAAATTTATGCGCAACATTTAAAAAAAATTGAACAGTGCTGGTATTCTTCTTGTCTGTGAAACTTTAGGTTATTTTAATTCTCTTTTCATAGATATCAACAAATTCTTCGTTATCACATGGAACATGATGAGCACATCCATATCATCGATTGTTGTAAAAGATTTGGGTAAGTTGTGACATTCCTCCCAGCATCATTTTTATGGAATCCTATTTTCAACTATTTAATATTCAAATTACATATTAAAATAATTGATTGAAATATATCTGTGTTAAATATACTGCTTTAAAGCAATACTGTTAGTACGCATTCTGACATTTTTCTATAGTTTTGTTCTCTGGTTTTTCCGTACCTACATGTATGTCACGCACTGCACACCTTAGTTCATTCAATCAGAACAAACCTAAATATTGCTGTCAGTCAAACTGTAAAACCATTTATTTTAACTATTTTTTTTTTTTGAGTATATTCACTGTGTTTTAACTCCACGAATTTGTCAATGAAACAATGAGTTTTGTTGTTATTTTACATGTTCACATAGATTTAATTTAGCATTTAGTGGATTTTACGCATCAGCAAAAGTAAAACCCAGTTAATAATTAAAGCATTATTAAAGTAACTAGTACTTTATTAAAAACAATGTTTATCTAGGCCAAGCAAGACTCGTAATTTGACAATCACTTGAATTTTACCTGCTTGCCTGTAAATGGACAACTTGTTTTCAGTACATCTCTTAAAACTGGCTGCTATCAATGATGCATATATGCATTTCTGACAACAGTGGAAAAAATATCCAATTTAGAAAAAAAAAGAATTTTAATAATTGGAATATAACCCAAACCATATTTGCATTCAGTTATCTTTTCTGTATCATGAAGGTCAAAGTATACAAGTGGAAAATGTCTGTCCTCATTGTTGTTGTCATCAAAAAACTTTTTCTTCATGACCACGTTTTGGTGTGTGCTCTATTCGTATATTTTTCCAAATATTTAATATTTAAATTTCACTTCAAAATGTCTTCTTGTGGTCCAATAACTAAAACAATTTGTATCTGATCATCTTCAAATTTAGAAATCCTATTAATCGCTAAGAAATGTCAACTTAGTTAGTTTAGGTGCAACTAGCAAGTGGAGTATTAAAGAAGATATGGAGTAAAATTTGGCTGATAAAAAACATTAGTTGAATGTAGATTTATTCTGCTGATATTGAAAACAAAAATTTTAGTAATATGCTCTTTAAAATCTGTCAATTAGGTAAAGTGTAATAAACTGATATGTTGTTTTCATTATTAGTGTAAATCAAAAAAAGCGACAAGTGTAGTTTCCTGCCTTTTTCAAATCTGGCTAGTATTTTATTTGTGCTAATAAATATTAAGTAAGTGCACTATTATTTATGAAGTTTTATATATTATTATTATTATTATTATTATATAATTTACATTACATTGTTCTATAAGGGACAATGAGATTAATATAGTACATGGAATAATTGAGGAGCATGTTGGCTTGTATTTTTCTTGTCAAATTTTGCTTAGATATGTTGCTGTACTATTGCTTTTTAGAAACTTCTATACAATTCATGTTATACTATGCTACAGCATTTTGGACTTCAGCTTCGTTTCAAGTAAACAAAAGACTGGCTTTGCTACGAAGTGGCATCAGTCATTTTCGTTTGTGTTCACCTAGCTTCGCTTCAGTGATGCTACCGCTTTATTTGCAGCGTTATTATACACTAAAATGGTTGTTTCATACTGTGTGTATTTCTGAAAATCTGAATAAAGTTGCTTCCATTCATTGTTTAATCTAGATTCTCAATTGGCTAAGTTTTAATAGTTACGCTATGTTTATTTATTATGTTAATTTCTAGGTTTAGATGCTTTATTACAGAAAAGGTCGTAGGCTCATTACTATGATTGGTTAACATTGAAAGGCATACTGTTTTCATCTTCACAGAGCACAGATGAAATCTGACAAAATTAATATTATTACCAAATTAGTGTGTAGTAATATGTCATGTCACCATGGCCTGTGTCAGGTCACCTGTCCTGTGTCAGGTCACCTGTCCTGTGTCAGGTCACCTGTCATGTTGTCCTGTGTCAGGTCACATGGCCTGGGTCAAGCACTTGTAACATGGCCCTTTTTACGTCCACTATTTTCACTGATAAATAAATATGAAATAAATATAAAAATAAAAAATTACAACAAAAATAAATGTTCCACTGGGAAATTAACTTTTTTCATCTTCCTTTGTTTGTCAGACAACAAGATCCGAGTTTGTGGGTGCAGGCTTTGTCTTACTTTGCTGGTAAAGAGGAGGACTGTAAACCTCAAATCATGGAGGTTTTATCACATATTGATAAAAAGAATCTCTTGCCACCGCTACTGGTGATACAAACATTGGCACACAATTCAACTGCTACTCTGTCTGTGGTTAAAGTAAGTATTATTAGTGAAGTCGGACATAAGTACATGATAATGTATAAAATGGCATATCACTTGTATTTCAGATATTGCTGAAAAACTAATACTGTAAAATACATTATTTTAGCTGGAATTAATTTTCGCTGGAAAGACGTTTTGGATGTTTTGTATGAAATTTATTTTCACTGATTTTACTGATTTCACTTGGCGAGTTGTATGTAAAAAATAGGAAAAAAATATATATTTGCTGGATTTTATTTTCACTGAATCACTCCTTAAGCAAAAATAGCAAATATTAATTCCAAGCGAAAATAAAGTATTTTACAGTATGATAATATGTGATTATACGATTGAACTGATCTCGGTCAAACACATAAATAACATCATGTTATCTGATTCAAGATGGCTGAAACAGGATCTCTGGCATAAGTGAACTGATTTTGTTCAAACTGATTCATATAGCTTTACTGATAACACGACATTCAAACTTCAAACATACATACAAATACTGACATGTGCATATAAATCATTTTAGTGTTAAAAATAAAACAAAAACCATCCATTTTTGGCATTCCAAACACAGATCTTGATGCCAATGTATTTCTATCACAGTTTGATTCAACATGGCTGACGAATGGCCATTTGAAATTCCCGAAAATCTAGCATTTGCACTCTTCTGGCATGAGTAGATACATTGGTTCATAAGATTTGTCACATTCCTAGACTGATCGTAGTCACCTGATGTTAAACCCTCTTGTTCACAGGTTATGTGTCTACCATGCATATATACTTGAACACTTTATACCCCATATTAGTTTTACATGAAGTCTGTGGGTATAGCATGGAGTCACCCAACTATGACTTGGGGGTGATCTCATATATTCAAACATGCAGGTCAAACTTACGAAAACCCAAACCGCCCTAAACCGTCCGAACAAAACCCAGTTTTGCGGTTTGGAAGTTTAAACAATAGACAGTGCGGTTCAGGATGACCGCACGAATTTGCATAAAAAACTGCGATTCGAACCGATTT